AATCTATACAAAGAAAAAGGCAAATTAATGAATGATTGAAACAGACTTATTTTCAATTCAAATAATTTAGACTAAACTCTGCCCGAGGTCTCTTTGGTTGAATTAAACACTCGTTACTAGGTGCAGGATCACTGACTTTTTTGTTGCTTGAACTAGAATTAGAATAACTAGCTGGGTGGCCCGTGCAATTGCGCGGCTAGCACCCATACAAAATTATCTATTTTTAATATGATTTTACTTATAATTTATTCAATAGATATTTCATTGTCTTAAGACTTTGAAAGACCAAACCATATCATCCCCGTATTTCTAATGTTGTAACTTTTATAAAAGTCACATCAGTTGTTACCCCTTACTTTTTTTTTGTCACCCTTTCTTTATTTGTTTGTTCGATCTACCATGGCTTATATTCATTATCCTTTTAACCTTTAAAAATTGGATCTTATAGTTTTTTTAGTTTATTGTCTCATTGGGTTTCATTTTTTTATTTTTAGAAGTCCCGTTAAAAGCTGCCAATATACTTCTCTATGGCTCATCCGCTGCTTCCTCTCTTTATTGTCATTGGGATTTTAATAATCGAACATAATTATTGTTTGAGTTTAATTTTTACTTTCTAGAGTCCCACCAAACCGTTTGTACTCTTCTACGGCTCGCCCGCTTCTTCCCACTATTTATTATATTTGAGATTTTAAAATCGAATGTGATTATCATTGAGGTTTATTTTTTAATTTTTTGGAAATCCCGCCAACCGTCGTGACCATTCTGCTTAACGGCATGTCCGTCGTCACTCCTTTTAATTGTCATTGGGATTCTATATGGGATTTTGTTAATAGTTTTTAGATGTCTCATCAACTGTCACCACTCTACTCCTTTACAACCCTTTACAACCATGTTACTTCTTCGATATTTATTATCATTTATCATCGTTGTGTTCTAGATGATTTTTTTTTGAAATTTCCATATTTTTCGTTCCGATAGATTTTATTTATAAATTATATTCCTAGTTGTTTTACTCTATTTTCAGAATTTATTCTATTAATTATTTGGAATTTTAATTAATCTCGTTATGTATTCTAGATGGTGTATTCTTTAAATAGTCTTTATTTTTTATTACGAATTTCAGTTCCTTTTAAATTGCATTCCAAGTTGAACTCTTCTTTTTATTTTCTTATTTCTAATTTCGGATTTTATTTTATTTTTTATTTTAAATTTTAATTAATCTCGTATTGGGTTCTTATATATGGACTTGTATGAAATGAGGGCACTGTATTTTTTTTCTACTGCTGCAGCCTAAGCGTGCTGGCCTGGTATTTCCACCCTATATATGTGCGGGAATGTATGTTGGTTTAGAACTCTATAATGTATAGTTCTGCAATTGATTTTTCTAAACGGACAAGGACTCCTAGTACGGATGGTATGATCCATAATTAGATTAATATGATTATCTTTTGTACAGTAAATCTATTTAGTAATTTTAAATTTGTATTCCTACTCGAACTCTCTTTTTTTCTTTTCTTCTAATTTCAGAAATTTATTTATTTATTATTCTGAATTTTAATTAATCACGTATTGGGTTCTTATATGGACTCCTCTTTCAATATTGCTTATTTTTAATTCCGAATTTCAGTTATTTTTTAGATTGTATTTCTACTTGGACTCTTTTTTTTTCTCCGATTAATGTGGGAATTTCTAGCCTCCACAGCGAACGTGGTGCCTTCTTTTCGAGCTGTCTTAATAATATAATAGATACGCGAGTAATGTTCTTTTTGACATGTTAGACAATCTAAAGATGTATAGATATAGAAAACAATTATAAGTATCAATCACAACCTCATTGAACTTGAACTATTGAGACACAATCTTATACTTGTCTTTTAGTATTAGAGTTTCAATCACAATCACAACCAGTTTTTGGCTTGCTGCCTGCCTGCCTTGCCACCTTGCGCCCTCGCAGCGCCTCGTTGGAGAGCGGCACGCCACCTCCCCGGCAGCGTGGCAGCGCAGGCGCTGGACCACCGCGTCTCAAGGCCCCCCCGGGCGCCCTCCAATCCGCCCCTGCTAGTCTGGATGCACTGTCCAGATTTATTATTTAGTATGAACAAAATCCTATCCTAAACAACAAAATTTTGGGAGGTAGTACTACGAAGCCACTGCCAGCAATTTCTCCAAATAAAACTAGCTGGGTGCCATTGACACGGCTAGTGTGTGAATGACAAATGGGTCCCATAAATATTTATTTTAATTCTAATATTATATAAGCGCCACGTGGGATGAAGACTAGGTCAACGCCACCACGTCATCCAAACAGTCCTCCAAAATCTCCGAGGGAGTTAAATTGTACTGGTTTCAATAGTTCAGGGAGTCATCCTTTCCAATTTTGTGGTTGAGAGTCATGGATTAGATTCCCGTCACTTTAAGGGAGTTGAAGTGGACTTATTTCTATATTCTATAGTACTCCAATATCGCATTTGGGCTACTTGGTTGGGCTCGTTGCTACGTTGCATTTGGGCCGTGGGAGTACGTTTTGCATTGGGCCGGTGAGTTCCTTCTTCTCGGCGTGTGTATTCGATTTGGGCGATATGATTCGTTTCGTGGACAGGTTTGGCGCTCTTTTTGGTTGTGGATATTAGGGCATGTATAATGGTGTTTAATAGTAGGCCCTCTTTGTTATCACGTAAGTAAATTTGGTGACGTGAAAGAAAAAGAGAGAAGAAAGGAGAAACATCGTTGCTACGCATGACAACGGCTCAGAATCGACTCTTAGCATTTATTAACGGAAAATTTATTGCATGAAGGTGGAGAAAAGAAAAGAAATATAATAAAAAATATTTATGCATTAATGGTTTAGAAATCTTATTGTCTCTACTATTGTAGGAGGATACTCCCTCCGGTTTTATTTTAATTGACGCTTTGGACAATGACACGCTCTACAAGATATATCTTTGACCTTATTTTTCTATTACAATATATACAATAAATAAATGCATGTTTACTTTTATTATAGTGTTTTGAAAGACAAATATATATATATATATATATATATATATATATATATATATATATATATATATATGTTTTTCTAGTTTCTTTAAACTAAATATTTTTAAAGTTATTGATGGGCAAAGTTATAAAAGTTTAATCTCAACCTTGTTCAAAACGTCAATTAATATAGAATCAGAGGGAGTAGTCTCTAGTGGCATTAATTAATATAGAGAGCTCATATTAGGTTCTACCTTTTTGTACGTGCGTTTAACCGGCATGATTGTGTTTACCATTGATGACTATAGTAGTCTCATTTATTAACCTGTTCAAGACTGTCTAATCGTGGTTCTTGAACAATCGCTATGTGAGACATGACGAGTATTTGAGGACTGTAAGCAACAGCGTACTGCTGAAACTGAAAGTATGAAAGAGCGGTGCAGTTTGAAGCACAATTCTTTGTACAGGACTGGATTTAACCATCGTCAGTACTGTTTTGTATTTTACAGTGTGGTAATTCTACATCTTTTCACCTGGTATATCGGTTCTTGTATCCTGAAGTTTCGGGGTATATTAAATTTCTTTCGTGTGATCAATCTGGATAGAGTATTGACAATGCCGACTAACTGACACATGTTAATATAGCGACCAAGCTAGTAGCAAAAATACAATCAGGTCAGTAGGTCAGCAAGTATTTCAGGGAAAAAAAACTTTGTTACCCAATGAAATACCAACTGGCCTGAGAGCATCACCAACAGATTATCTATAATCTTTCCTCAAAAAATTGTTTTTGGTTTCCTAAACTGAAAAAAGGAAGGGAAAAAACTCCTCCCTCCAATAGATAGCCTAAATTCATTCCCTAAAACTTAAAAGTTTTTTTCTTCCACGCGCAGAAAGATCGCTATCTTCCACGCGCAGGAACGGGAGGAGAGAGAGGCGGGAGTGCGAGATTGGGAGCGACTTTCGCGAGAATGCACGCCCGCATATAAACGGAGTGAGGAATCGAGAGAAGGGAACTCCAAAACTCGGGTAGAAGATTAGGGGATTTGTTAGAGCAGTTTTTTAGACTAAAATCCCTTAAAATCAGTTTTAGGAATCAGATATGTAGACTGTTGGTGATGCTCTCAAGTCAAGTAGCGGACGATATGCGATTTTTTTTAAAAGGAAAATTGGAAACTCTACCAATCAGTTAAGAAGGAAATTAAGTGAAGTACATGTCCACAAGATCGGTCCACCGGCCAGGTCGAGCAAATATATACTATATAATATATACACTACATATTATGGGGTACAAGAATGGATACTTTCGGGAAACAACCTCTGCGCAACGATCATAAATTTCTACCACAACTTGAAATCTTGAATAATGGCCAGTAGCCAAGTACATTGTCGGTGTCTGCCGTCTGCGTGGCATGGCACTGCTGAACGACGCGTGGTCGATCCAGGTACATGCCATTCCTATGTATGCGAATTATGAGAGCAGACCAATGGTAGGTGAAACAAAGAATGCATGAACTATAGCAGATATGAACTCAGCAGATATGAACTCACGAGCCATGACCCATGAGTGTGTTGAAGACGAGAGCCTGTACATGTATCGGAGAAGACCAAAGCAATGTTGCTGTTCATTTAAGGGAGGAAGCAGGTGAGGAAACAACATTAACACCACTGAGCACACACTGCGCGTAGCAAAAATGAGCCCATCACCACGTCCCAGCGTCCCGCTCCGCTCTTCGCGGCGATGGGCAGCGCCGTGCCGACACGACGCCCCGAGATGGCTACCTAGCTGACACGCAACGCCGGCCTCCGGATCGATCAGTAAAGAGAGTGCAGTGCAGTGCAGCCTCGTGTCGTCATGCACCTGGAAGGAAAAGGTTACTGTATTTCTGCTTGTGTGCGCGATTTTCGCTGCTAGCTGGCAATCGTGGGATTTGCAGCGTACTGTGCAGGCCCAGTGTAACTCGACGCCACGCCGGCCCATCGTATTTAATGAGCTGAGTGTAAGCAGGTACACAGGCCGCCCAACTAACCTCCTTCACGGCGCATTTACGCTTGGGCATGGCCGGTGTAACCGTGCAAGCATCGTAGTGCCATCGATCGCTGCTGTAAGTTTGTAACATGTGCGTGTCCTGCGGAGAGTTGTGTGCCGTTGTGCATGGAATGGAAGGCAAAGCATAACATGGGAGCTTTTCATATAAAGGCCACCAGCACGCGGGCTGCCACTTCAAGCTTCAGCTCGTGATCCCATCAGATCAGCAAGCAGTCGCGAAATGGTGCCGATGGCTAAGGCTCTCGCGGTCGTGTCCGCTTTCTGCCTTCTTGTGGCGCCGGCCGCCGCGGCGCGTAGCCTCGTCGACGTCATCGGCGGGGCGTTCGGTGGCCGGAAGGACTACTACACGCCCGGTCCTACTGGCCAGCACCACTCTTCTAGTCCCAGTCGTTCGTACATTACCCAGTCTCTTCCATATCTTATCTTGCTACTGCTCGGTTACGTCAACTGGTCAAACGTACGACGTAATGTTCGTGCGTGTACGTGTTTCCCATGCAGATTCGCACAAGGCTCCGCCCTGCGCGCCGACGCCGCCACAGGGAGGTGGTGGAGGCTACAACCCACCCTCGCCGTCCATTGGAACCTCTCCGACAACGCCGGGAGGAGGTGGAGGCTACACGCCGACGCCGAGCGACACGCCACCCTCTCCGTCCAGTGACACCTCGCCGAGCACTCCGGGTGGCGGCTGCTCGTCCTCACCCACGCCGTGCGACGCACCGCCCTCACCGTCCAGTGACACGTCCCCGACAACGCCGGGGGGAGGTGGAGGCTACTCGCCGACACCGAGTGACACTCCGCCCTCGCCGTCCAGTGACACCTCTCCGACAACGCCGGGTGGAGGTGGAGGCTACACGCCGACGCCGAGCGACGCGCCGCCCTCGCCTTCTAGTGACACCTCTCCGACAACGCCAGGTGGAGGTGGAGGCTACACGCCGACGCCGAGCGACGCGCCGCCTTCGCCGTCCAGTGACACCTCTCCGACAACGCCGGGTGGAGGTGGAGGCTACACGCCGACGCCGAGCGACACGCCGCCCTCGCCGTCCAGTGGCAGCTCCCCGACAACGCCGGGTGGAGGTGGAGGCTACACGCCGACACCGAGCGACACGCCGCCCTCGCCGTCCAGTGGCAGCTCTCGCACTACACCGGGTGGATGCTCCACTCCCACGCCGTGCGGCACGCCGCCCGCGCCGTCGAGTGGCACCTCTCCGACCACACCGGGTGGAAGCTACTACCCGCCCACGCCGTCCATTGGCGACGTGCCACCCTCGCCGTCCAGCGACACCTCTCCGACCACACCGGGCGGAGGCTCCCCGTCCACGCCATGCGACACGCCGCCCTCGCCGTCCAGTGGCACGTCCCCGACCACGCCAGGTGGAGGCTACTACCCGCCCACGCCATCCGTCGGCGACGTGCCTCCCTCGCCGGCCAGTGGCACCTCCCCATCCACGCCAGGTAGTGGAGGCTACTCTCCGTCCACGCCATGCAGTGCGCCGCCGTCGCCTTCAAGTGGCACCTCCCCAACCACGCCGGGTGGAGGCTATTCTCCTTCCACGCCGTGCAATGCGCCGCCCTCCCCTTCAAGTGACACCTCCCCGACAACACCTGGTGGCGGCAACTACCCGCCCGCGCCCACCATTGGCAACGTCCCGCCATCGCCATCCAGCGGCACCTCCCCGAGCACACCGGGTGGTGGCTGCTCATCCTCACCCACGCCATGCGACGCGCCGCCCTCGCCATCCAGTGACACTTCCCCGACAACACCGGGTGGAGGGTACTACCCGCCCACGCCGTCCATCGGCACCTCGCCATCCACACCGGGCACCGGCGGAGGCTACTACCCTCCCTCCCCTTCCACCGGCGGCTACACGCCGACTCCGGACGTTCCGATCAGCACCCCGTCGAGCCCCTACTCCCCGCTGGTGCCCACGCCGCCGTCGAGCACCACCCCGATGCCCTTCGACCCCAACACGGCACCCTTCCCGTGCTCGTACGTTACTTCGTCAACCTTAGCGCCGCGCATATCCACACGTACGTCGTGCATAATATGGAGTATATCAGGTGCATTTACTAATCTAACGCACGTGTCGTGTGCGTTCTGTCTGATTGCAGATACTGGCTGTCGCACCCGGGCGTGATATGGGGCCTGTTCGGGTTCTGGTGCCCGATGGCGCGGCTGTTCGGGCCGACCGCCGCGGCGCCGTTCGGACACGACCTGACCGTGCCGGAGGCGCTGGCGAACACGCGCGCCGACGGCGTGGGCGAGCTCTACCGCGAGGGCACGGCGTCGCTTCTCAACTCCATGGTGAACAGCAGGTTCCCCTTCACCACGCAGCAGGTGAAGGACGCGTTCAGCGCCGCGCTCAGCTCAGGAGGCGACCACGCCGCCGCGGCTCAGGCGCAGCTCTTCAAGAAGGCCAACGAAGGCCACGTCATGCGTTAGGCTAGGCGGCCTCTCGATCCTCTGTACTTGAACGTACTCGCCACGTGAGGCGGATTCGATGCGATGTACACGCGAGCATGCGTGCAGGTTCATGTCGGGGTGGGGTTTGGAGTAATCCGGCGTGTTTGCAACTTTGCATTATGTTTGATCTAGAGCGGATGGCCTCTGGAATAACTATAGGAGAGTTAAGTACGTATGTTTTGTTATCCTTTTAGAGTCCATGGCCGCACGGAATGACTACAGGAGTGTTCTCTGTGGCCTTTTAATTCAGTATGTACTTGTGGCGTTAAGCATCAGACGTGTTCTAGTATTTCTAGTTCTATGAACTACTGGCATCTTTCAATTTACTCAGCTCTTCCATAGGATTCAATACTCGAAACCATATGCATTGAGATTTGAATACTCGAAACTATGTAGAGAATGTTGAGAATGAGCAGTTATGTGCATTTGAGCAACTCCTAACCACATGATCACAATCTAACGGTTTAGATTACATCGCTACACTACCAAAAGAGTTTGGTTGTTTAGGGTGTGTTTAGATTCAGAGGTGAAAATTTTTGGCGTGTCACATCGGATACACCAACACACATTTAAAGTATTAAACGTAGGCTAATAATAAAATAAATTACATAATCCGCATGTAAACTGCGAGACGAATTTATTAAGCCTCATTAATTCGTCATTAGCAAATGTTTACTGTAGCACCATATTGTCAAATCATGGCGTAATTAGACTTAAAAGATTCGTCTCGTAATTTACACGTAAACTATGTAATTGGTTTTTTCCGTCCACATTTAATACTACATGCATACGTCTAAACGTTCGATGTGGCAGGGTAAAAATTTTTTGGTGGGATTTAAACCGGGCCTAGTTCCCAACTTTTCCTTTAAACTTCCAACTTTTCCATCACATCAAAACTTTCTTACACACACAAACTTCCAACTTTTCCATCACATCGTTTCAATTTTAATCAAACTTTTAATTTTGACGTGAACTAAACACACACAAAATCTCTGTATTGACAGGAATTGTACTACTGTGCCATGCAGTAGTTACTGTAGCAGACTCATAATGCCGTTCACACAGGATCAGCTCTGTCCTGTGCTGCAAATGATCAACATCCGAGAGGAGACGGTGAAAAGTGAGAACTTGTAACGGCGATGTCTTCTGCAAGCCTCGGTAGGCTTCCTTCATATTAGGATTGAGGTTTCAAGGCTAGAGACGGTGAAAAGACTACCATAGAACACGGAACGAGATCCTACGTCAGAGGGACGTCCAATACGGGATCACTGTTCGTAGCGCATCTGACGGCACCAATCGTTCGTAGCGCCAGTTCGTTCTCCATCTTCGACCCAGAAGACCATTCAGTCGTCGTCGCCGCCGCCGCCTCCGCCTGCTTGGTCTTATCGCCGAGGACGCCGCCTGCCAAGTCCAACAACCACACCATGCTAGTCACTCTTCAACATGGTCGGCAAGAAAGTGTAGTTTCCACCATTGATGTTGGTGAGCTACACACCTATGCAGGGAACGAATCGACGGCAGCTTCATGCCTGGTGCAGAAGCCAGACGCACGCACAAGTGTTGATGAACCTGCAATTTGTAGAGCAGCCAGGAGTGGCCATGGCCGGGCACGATGGCGGACTGCGGTGCCCAAACAGCAGCGGCAAGCTAGAGAGACGCTGTAGCCGACAGCGTGATGAATGGCAACGAGAGAGGAGTAGTAGTCGGCGACGCGGTGGACGGTGACGAGCGAGTAGTGGCTCCGCGACACCCATTTTTCCCTTCGCGAGCGAACAAAGCCAGTGACGTGGTGGACGATGGCGAGCAAGTAGCGGCACCCGGCGTCGCCGATATTTCCCCCTCACGAGCAAACGAGAGCAGTTGCAAATGAGGACCACATTGCGCTATTCATCAGGAGCGTTGGATGCTTGGGGGCCTGTGGATCGAAGAGCTACTGCCCTCTGGCCTCTGACGTAGTTTTCCCAACGTCAAAGATCCGGTTCCGTAGAACACCTAATACATGTCGGCTCTATAGGTATCGGAAGTGGTGAAATCAACACCTACAGTGCCCTTGCCACCGACACGAGTGCATGTTAGCACGAACCGGCACCTTTCTAAAGAAATAAGTGCCGTTCTAAAGAAAAACCATCATCAATACTATAAATACCAGTTTTTATAAAAAAAAACCCGACATCTTTAGTTTAGTTTATTGTAGGTGCTGGTTATAAAACACCAACACCTATAATAAATTATATGTCCAGGGTTTTTTAGAAAGCCAACATCCGAAAAAATCGAGCCGAGCCAACTGCGTCTTATCCAGTCACACCTGTCCTTATCTCCTCACCCGTGACTCTCTCTCCCCCTCTCTTGCGACTCTCTCTCTTTCTTCCTCTCCTCCCCACCCGCGAGCCGGTAGCGGTGTCCTCCACACCCGCGGTAGCGCCCTTCCCTAACACCCTCTTCCGCGGTAGCAACAGGATGGAGGTGGCAGCAGCGTGCGGCAGCTAGACTGGAGGCGGTAGCACGAATATGGCAGTTGTGGGTGGATCTGGTAGTGGCGACGGCTCCCTCCAACCCCTCTCGCCACCCTCCCACGGCGGATTAAGCGCTGGTGGTAGCCGCGAGTGGATCTGGTGGCTGTTGCGGTGGTGGTAGCCGCCATGGGTGGATCCGTCAGCGGTGACGGCGGCCGAGGGCAGATCCAACGCCGGCGGGAGTGAAGTTCTTGGAAGTTCTTTGATGTTGTGATTCCATGATTCCTTTTGTGATTATGTGATGATGATTGTGGTTTATTTTAGGGGTGCAAAGTGTGATTGATTCGATTCCAAGTGGAATCGGTATGTGACTATTGACTTAGTGTTCTTGAATGTTTTTGGATTTCTTGGATTGATCGGGGTGAAGGGAAGCTACTCGGCTCGGTGCATCAGCTCGCGTCGAGCCGATGCATCGAACCAGCTTTTTTTTATTCGTGGAACCTCAAAGGTGTCGGTTCTAAACTAACACCAGATCCGGCACCTATTTGATTTTCACATCAGTACCGCCCTCGTGATGCCGGTTGGGAAAACCGACACCTAAGGGGATTTCTGTAGTAGTGAAAGGGGTAGAGGCCTGTTAAATATGTGATCTGAATTTTAGACTTGCAATATATTCAAATAAGTTTCCTAATAGAACTTGACTATTATGATTAGTTCCCTAGTATGACTTTTAAGTCTTTCCTCACTAGGACTTCTAGATTTCTCCTATATATATCCTGAGAAATTGTAATTATTGAATTTAAAAAATAAATTAGAAGCTAGCTTTCTCCGTTTTTTAGATTTATAGAAACTTGTTATCAAACCACTGGTTCTTAGGCTGCGTTCAACAAATGCAGTCAGAGATTAGTTTTCGTAGCACGTGAAAAGAGACAGACCATTAGCAGATAATTAATCAATAATTATTATTATAAACTTAAAAAATGATTTATTTTTATTTTTTTAAAGCAACTTCTATAAAAAAATTTCTTGCAAAAAAACAACCCCTTTGGTAGTTTGGGAAGTCTACTAACGAAAAACGTGGAAGTTATAATTTAAAGTTGAAAGATAGAATGGGGCTTAGAATTTTAAGCTATTCTAAAAAGGGCATGAAGTCTTTTCCTGCTGAAGCGGAAGGAATAGGTAGCAGCGCTAGCGAAGATAGAGATGCTAGGCCAGGCCTAGCTATAGATGGCCAAATGGGCCGCCCGACCCGGCACAGCCCAGGCATGACTGTGCCTGGCCGAGGCCATTTGGGCCGGCACGGCCCAACATACACGTCGGGTCATGCCGCGCTAGCCCACGGGCTGCACATACGATTTAGGCATGGCCCAATAAGACTTTGGTCGTGCCGGGCCAACCCAAAGGCACGACAGCCCATCGTGCTTCTCCACAGAATAGGTATATTGTTCATCCCTCAACTATTTGGGCTTTGTCTATATTGCTGGAAAATTAGTCTATTTTGTATTCCTCTTCTCTTTGGGCCTTGCCTTATATGGTTGATTAAGTATATTTTGGGTCCCTCTATTATTTTTCTTCCATCGTGCCGGGCTATGCCGGCCTATCGTGCCGAGGGAACAGGCCCAGGCACGGCACGATTGTCGGGCTAGGCCGGCACGGGCACAACCCTAGTCGGGCCGTGCCGTGCTTGGACCAGACCAAATTACCGTGCCTTGGGCCGGGCCGTCGGGCCTCGGGCCATATGGACATCTGTAGGCCCAGCTAGACGCCTCGGCTAGACTACTTATGGCTTGCTTTGCTTCTTGACAAGACATAAATACTCAGGACACTAATGATTTTTTGCTAATTACACTACTTAATATGCTTAGAACTAATAAATCACTCTTAGAATTAAGCATTTGCACCATGGTATGTGAAGAGTGGCCCAATGATATTTTTTTTCTAGCTCCGCCCACAACTCGTATCTATATACTCTATAGATGGCCATAAGGCCCGAGGCCCGAAGGCCCGGCCCATGGCATGACTTTTTGGCCCGGCCCAAGCACAGCATGGCCCGACTTGGGTCGGGCCCGTGCCAGCCCGGCCCGATCGCTGGGCCGTGTCTGGGCCTCCCCGCCGGCACGCTGTCGGGCCGGCCCGGCACAATGGGCCGGCAGGCCAGGCCCGGCACACAAAGTATAGGGACTAAAAATAGACATATAAATGTAACTGTCCAAAGAATAGGGATCTTAAATAGACTTATTAGCTATTTATATACCACAGCCCAAAGAAGAGGGAGGTAAAATAGACTTTTTTAGCTATATATATATGTCACAACCCAATAGGAGGGAGGGAAATTAGACTTATTCCGAGGCGTGTTGGGCCCTGCCTGTGTCGTGAGTGCGGCACGTGGGCTGGCACGGCACGGCCCAGTGTGTCGGTTGGGCCGTGCCGGCCCGACAAGCCTCAGCCCAGGCCGTGCAGTGCCGGGCGGCCCCACATGGCCATCTATATACTCCCTCCATTCCATCCCTCCATTCCATTTTAAGTGCAACCATAAATTTTCGTTCCCAATTTTGATAATCCGTCTTATTTGAAAATTTTTTTAGTATTTTTATTATTATGAGATGATAAAACATAAAGTAGGACTTAATACGAAACTTATGTTTTAATTTTTTTAAAAAAAAATTTTCAAATTAGACAGACGGTCAAAGTTGTGCACGGAAAATTATAGCTGCACCTAAATTGGAACGGAGAGTGTATTTGATATTTCTTGGAGCCCAGAAGCCAGATATATCAGTCTCCTACCAAACAATTTTTTCGCCGGTTTCCTGGCAAACAGTATCAAAATTTTTTGGCTGAGGGAAAAACTAGCGCGTTGTTTACCGTATCAAAATACAACAATCAATAGCATAGTGCACGTACTGCAAGTTTGCAACAGCCAATGGTTCGATAACAGGCTGATAGCACTGCGGAAATCAAAATGACAAGCATAAAGGCCACAACAGCCAACAGCGATCAACTCAAATGCTCAATTAGATTGTACTAGATTTGTTTTGAAAAAAAAATGTGCATACTACACAGTCCCACCACTCGCGTGGTAAGTTCGAAGAATCTGTAGCAACAAATAACCAAAAGTAACGAGCGCCGGCCGAGGCAATGGATAGAGCTGGGAATGAACCAGAGCAGATCCCAAAACCATATAACGTTGCAAACACAAAACTGAGACATTTCTTTGCAGGGAACAAACAAGGTATCAACGTAACTATAAAAAAACTAGCTGGACATAACACCTTATGCATAAACATAGCACTATTCTAGCGAAGGGTAACAATTACAGTGCAAGCTGACACTAGAGAGGAATCTAGTCTATTCTATTCTATTCTATTCTATTATATACTAAAAGTCCATTAAACTTCCTACAAACGCTCCTAAGCCGCCACATGGCGCTCCTACAAACACTCCTAAACCGCCACGTGGCACTATCTAATCTCATTGTTGATTTTCACTTAGATTGGTGCACCGTTAATTTAGACCATTAGATTAGATCTATTATTAAAAAGGTGATAGTTTTTCTAAAAAAATATGCAACTGGTGGCTGGGAAAAGGAAAGAAAACTAAATGTCCATACGCAAGTATAATTGAGAAAAAAACAAATAAAGCTTCCTACTGTTAGGCGGAAGAAAAAGAAATAAACATCTACGTACGATAAAAAATGATAAAGCCAAAAAAATGTGTAGTTAGTACCGGTGGAAAAAACCACGGTCTAATGTACGATTTTGTATAATATAAAATATAATATTACATAATATACAGAAGTACATGCATGTAAACTAGATCTATAATATAAATATCAAATATCAAATCAACGGTCTCTAAATATTATCTTTTAATTTATTTTTAATTGTATATCCAATTTATGATCCATTGTATTCATTTAATTATATAAAGTAATGATGTATAAAAGTAATATTATGGTCTTAAATACATCATGACACATTGGGTCGACATACAATATGTAACTTTAGACACTAAAAATCTATTAAACTTCCTACAAACGCTTCTAAATAGCCATTTGGCGCTTCTATGAACGGTTCTACGCCACCACGTGGTGCTCTAATAAATTATAGAAAACCTTACAAATTGTGAGAAAAAAAAAATCATGCAATCATTTTTATTGGTTGACCTACTATTTTAAAATATTAGATTAGATTTATTTAAAATACATCTAATCTGCTCAAATAATAAAAAACACGTGAATAGTTATACGTATATATATACATACTTCCGTACTTTGCTAGCTTAAAAAAAAGAGGAAAAAATGTAATTAGGATTGAAAAAAGAAGGATTAGCCATGCCACGGTCCCACCTAATTGTTACGAGTTACACGTACATAGGTACCTTTCACCCAAAAAAGTGAAAAAAAATCTCAAATGTACAATGCATACTACTATTCACCAGATTGAGAAAAAAAATTCTCCTGGGTATGTACAAACCCTGTCATCGGCTTTCACTTAAATCATTTAGAAAAATTAGAAAAATAAAATCTCCATCTCCTCCTCACTCTCACATCTACGCAACACTGTCGTCCCCTCCCTATTGTTTTATCTATTAAATTAAAAGAGAAACAATAAATAAAGTTTGATATTTTTTAATACAAAGTAGAAACGTGGGCACTCACAACGCGCGTACACTCACATCTATGAACGCGCACATGCACATACTCCTATGAGTACTTTCGAGAGACTAGGCTGATATATATTGAGATTGACAAAGTCACTATATATGTCTCGCTGTCGACGGGTACGTCACCTACTACTGAAAGAATTTGTCAAGTCTGGGATATGAACCTGAGTGGGTAAATTCCATCACTACGAACCTAACCGGTTGAGCTACGTTCACTTCACAATAATGTTGGATATTAAATCGACCATAATTTGTAAGCTACATTTCTAGAATACTTATATGCCTTTTAAACCAGTGGAATCATTATTTCTAACAGTTAGATCTATCTTATATAAGAAAAACCAGATGTGTATATATGGTACATCACATTTCAAAAATATTATTGTGCAATTATATTTCGATTTCACATTAGCTTGCATGGAACTTCTGACCCACTCTACATGAAATGTTCATACATGGATCGGCTCTCAAATTACATTAATCATATTAGCCTATATAAATCCATATATTTAATGGAGCATCATGTCCCACCCAATTAATCGTTGAATAAACTATGATAATATATATGCAATTAAAAATGAAAAATAGCTTAGTTTTACTTTACACTTACTTTTCGTTGACATGTTTTCTAAAGAAAATAAGTCTACCTTCTTTTCAAGTGATGTAGAAGATTATAAATAATTGCTTATAGATATTACTTAAATATGATATAATATAAAACTAATAGGTTAGAAAATTATAAAAGAAATTAATGTCGACAAAAACAATTTATGGAAAAATCGTGGTAGATGTTCACCGGTTAATATTTTGCTCTTATAAGTGTCTCAAACTTAGCATATGACACATGCCCGCGCATTCGCGCGGGCTACCTTCCTAGTTCTTTATAGAACTCAAACTTCTATTATGGCGCACTACTAAAAAGCCATAATATAGGACTTGTAGGACTAGTCGGGCACCTTAATAGAGAAGGTGCCCTTTCTACTGTACAGTGCCCCTTGTTTGATGGATTTACACATTTCCAGATTGTAGATTGCTGCCATCTCTACCAGCTGCAGGGTGCGATGCAAACCTTTCCATGGAGACGTCTCTTAAATATGGTATTGTCTTTAGCATCAGTATGTAGGAAGGCGTGATAAAGATGGTTGTTCCAACAGCTGCCCAGACCGACGACATACCCTTGAAACAAATGATTACAAGAACAATATACACTGCCAATATTATCACCATGCTAATTTTCTGCAAAAACAAATATCAACCAGAAAAAGGTTAGTAAGTGGAAATAAGTTTCAGCGGGTGAAAAAAATGATATTATGGTGTAATGGCTGGATTCAATAGCTGTTTGTAGTGGATAAACAAAAAAAACCAATACATTTGATTTGTTTTGTAGAAATAAGGCTGAGTAGTTGAGTGACATGAAAGTAAAGTTCTATGTATACCTAGGAATTTGCTGCATTGGTGGTGAAAATTTTCAGCATGGTGAGCAATAAGACATCGGTAACTAAGACTCAAAATTGGGTTGATTTATACAAAATAGGTTTCTGAAACAAACCTAGACAGAATCAGTGGTTCCGTTATGGTAATACTGATTGACTTCTGTCAGATACGAATACAAATATTATATACTATAGAAGCACGACACTGGCACACTGCTAAAACAAAATAGCTATTTGGTTTGATGTCCAAACGAGACCAAATTTGGCTTGTTTCTCTATTTGAAATGGCCAAAACTTAGCAGATCTTGCCGCATGGATTTGGCAATGCAAAGTTCAGCTTGAATTTTATGTGATTATTAGTTTGGAAAATAAGAAAGGTCCAAATTTTAACCGACTGTTGGAAAGATTGCTCGGTGCCAAACTGCCCGCAGTCAGTTTGTATTGAATCGAACAGTTTTACCAGATAGGGACACCAAAAAATTCGTGCTGGGTGAGACACATCAGACAGGGATTGAAATAAAAAGCGGGCCGTAGCCTTCGATCCAAAAACATCAGTCAGGGAGGCAGGATTACAGCTAGAAATTAGGAAGGGGGATCTGAAGCTTGACTTACACTGAGCACGTTCGCCAATATTTGATTCTTGGTGTCAGTTTCCCCCTGCTTCGTCTCGCATCCATCAATATCCTGGCCTTTCTCAAGATCGACGAATTCGGTTGGTTTTGTTTCTCCCCCTTTCTCAAAATCGACGGGCTTGGGAAGCTCCATCTAATCCTTGTGAGATTGCCTAGAGATTCCCTGTCTTGCTCTCCTAGGTAAGGCGGCGAGAGCTTCTTGCAGATCTTACAAATGCGCGCTACGGCGGCTTCGTTGGGGAATATGTGAGATGGAGAACTCTCCGATTCCGAACACTAACGAAGAATTACGCGCACGCCTCTCCGATTCCAAGTCTGTCTCCAACACCTTCACGGATTCACTTACGAAGCGCGGGTTCAAGGTGACCGCGTAGAATCACATTCCCTCCTCTGCTCCCGTCGCCGCTGCTCCCGGAGTAGCTGACCATGGAGTGGCTGGCGTCTCGCTGGCGTACGCCGACGTCAGCTCCTCGGACTCCTCCCCTCCCATCGCCGCTGCTCCCGCCGTAGCGGACCATGGATTGGCCGCGCGCCGTCGTGCTGTCGGACGCCGGAGGGTCCCAGCAATGCTCTGGTCTCCATCGATTCGCGCCTGAGATGCTAAAAATGCTGTGATAAACCCTAGTGTCCGACAGTCCGAGGTACGGTGGCGGCGGCGGCGGAGGAGCTAATAAGCTCTATCAGCCTTCCCCCGTTCCCCGTCGTCCGGTGGACAGGTTAGTGAACAATGGATGTCGGATCAATGCAAATGTCACATAATCCTCTTGATAAGGGCTCTTTTGGAATAAAAGATTTTTAAAGGATTGAATTCCTATAAAAAAAACTTTAAAGCTTTCTTGAAAAATCATTAGGATTGTACCAAATAGAGATTTTAGAGAAAACTTAGCAAGAGTTCCAACCTCTTAAAAAAATTTATGAATCTATCTCTTGAAAAAAAATATTATGCAATACTCTAATATTTGTTTGAATCAAATAAATACCATGTATTTAAACAAGTAAACAAACAAACAATACTAATAAGAAATATTTTTCTATCTATGACAAATCGTTATATATTTTCTTTTACCTATAGCAGAGCATGGGTATTTTACTGTGTAGTAGTAGGTAGTGTGATATAATTAACGGCAAACATAGCTAGCATGTCGACTATTCCAATTTTCTAAAAAAGATTTCAAGTAAAAAAATATAGATAATTTTATATCATACTTCCTCCGTTTAATATTACAAGATGTTTTGCCTTTTTTTATAGTCAAATTTCTTTATATTCGATCAAATCTATAGAAAACATAGTAACATTTCAAACACAAAATAAACATACTATAGAAACATATTTAATGGAACTAGTTTTTTGTGGATGTTGTTTTTTTTCTATAGATTTGATTGAGTAAACTTGTCCAATTTAATAGTGGGATCAATATATTTTTATAAATGATACGAATTAGATTACACCTACATTTCGAGGGAATAAAAGTGGACTTATTATGCATGAGTTTACGCGGGCCTGTGTAGCCCAAACCCAATTCCACTCTTGGGCTGGTTAGCTTTCTAGCCCAATATTACACGATGCAGCAAAGTGCCGCGCGTGCAGCCAGTAAGAATGTACTCCATCCATTCACTTCAGCTAGATTTCTTGACAGCCACTTTGGTTGACGCCTTGACGGTACCAAACTGTTGAACCGGCCAGGCGCACTACTAGAGTTCTCATACAGGTCATATCCATCTTTGATCTTTATTGAAGCCCAACGGCCAGAGATGTAAATCTCCTTCCTGCCAAACATTGTTTTTCCTCCGGGCCTCCTGCCAAACAATTAGGCCATTCGTGCATGCGTGCGACTTAAGGGGAAAACTAGCACGTAGTTTAGTGTTTACCATATCAAAATGCATCCGTCAGTAGTGAAAGTTTACAAGTTGCAACAGCCAATGGTTCGATTGAAGACTATACGTAGTCCCCATTCAGCTTACAGGCGTCGTAGTTGGGTTGCGGTGGCAATTCAATACGGCTATACGGCCGGCCGGTGCGAGAGCCCTCGCGCAACAACCGTATAAATCGTCTGCATTTATTCGTCAGAAGCTCAAGCTCAGCTCAGATATGGATCGCACGCATTTGTGTCCCCCTGGTTTGACATTCGGTTGATTCACGACCTCGAATGAAAGAGCCCACTTGCTGGACTGGATGTACGACGCACTGAAAATCTGAGGCATCCTTGTTTCTCATCGATCTGTTGGCAATTCGTTCCCATTAGCTTTGACAAAAGCTTCTCCTTTCGCAGCTCAGGACAGTTCAGAGAGCGGGACCATAGACGTACTGTACCTCCTATAGTCCATAGATCGACACTTCCGAGTTCAGACTTTGGAGGAAGGCTAGAGATTGAGGTACGGCTAATGAGCTAAGATAATGAAACAACCAAAAAAATTATAGGTAATTTTTTATATGTATTTGAATTGTTTGTGGCTTAATAACTAAATATAGCTAGTAATGAAAAATACACTAATACTCTCAAGGTTCCAGAATAATTTTATTTTTGGTCCTCCTATTTATCCTAAAACAAGTTGACTTTTAAATAATCCTAGATTATTATATTCTGAAATGGAGAGAGTAATACTAATGTAGGCATAGATTAGACTTTTACTAGTACTACAAATCTAAATATGGAGTTGATTCATTGAACTATGGCTGTGTTTAGTTTCAAAGTTTGGGGAGAAGTTTGGTAGTTTGGAAAAAAAGTTAGGAGTTTATGTGAATAGGAAAGTTTTGGATGTGATGTGATCTGATGGAAAGTTTAGAGATTGGGGGAAGTTTGGTGTGAACTAAACAGGGCATATGGCATGTCTAATACTCCATCCGTCCCATAATATGATAAGGGTTTGGAGGAATGTGACACAGTACTATGAATCGATATGTTATATTTGGGACAGAGGGCGTATGTGACTAGATTATTATATTTTAGGACGGAGAGGGTAATTTCATCGGGATTGATAAAGTGGTGATATTCTAGTTTTTTTAATGTGTAGGATATGTGAAAAATAAATTATTTAAGACAAAGAGAATATAACTCTAAACTTAAATTTAAAAAATTATTTTTTTCTACGGCTACAAGCAGGCGATAATTCAAAAATCAAGTGTTACAGATGCAACTGACCTGCAGACAGAACCAGCTGAGGTTCAAAAGAAAAGACAAGTGTCAACCGACGAGCTGCATCCTGTATTGGGTTTTCCCTGTTCGAAAGAACTGAAGAATGTACTACTAGCGTCATTACAAACCAGTCGTCCCCTTGTAGTTTGTTGCTCACGCAATCATCAATGCGCGCAAGCGCAACCATCGAAAAGCTCCGGTGCCGAATCAGATCAGTGGATGATTTTTTACTTGGATTTCCTTTTGGCAAATTGACCCCCATCAGAATGTCAAACCGTGGTTGTTATCTTTTGATGTACTCCACCTGTATTGCGCGCATGCATGCGTTGTCACCGCCGGCCCATTTCATGGGCGCGCCACGACAACATCTGCTGCAGGTTTGTGGAGCTCTGGCCTCACTCTCGTACAAGTGCGGTGAGGTAACAGATCACCAAGTAATGTGCACGCCAAAGTCATCGTTTGAGGTGTCGAAAAAGGAGCGATTCATGAATTCAATACAGTACTACTGTACTAGTATCAATTTATTACAGGAACAGACTCTGTTTGTGAGCTACGTGTACTCATCATCTTAAATTACGGGAGTACAGACTACAGAGCTCCGCACTTCCGCTACAAAAAAGCCACAGATATCCTTTACATCTGCTCCATCCTTTCCTTCATCACGGCATAAGTTTGCGGATGCTGTCAAGGAGTATATGGTACTCCTAGGTACTCCTACTAACACAACTACACAAGCGAGGATGTTTAGGTGTTAGGACATTAGGTGCACTGTTAAAAGTGGAGAAAAGTACCGAGTCCTGCTTGAAGTACTAGCAAGCTGAAACGACATGACTACTAGAGCAAAGTCAATAATGCAGCTAACAACGGACGGTAAAACGGCCCATGTCAGATAGTGCAGCTAATACTAAAAGCTCAGTTTTTACTAGATCAGTCCATCATGTGATTGGGTGGTGTTAGGTTGGCCCCACAAAATGTGTGAAAAGCTACGCTGTAACCGGACAGTAAAATAAGCGTTGGCTTATTTCTCTCTCCTAAGTTCTCTCTCCTCCATATAGAAATTAAATGATGTGTCATATTTTGAAGCCTGACTAGTCAGCTTATTGTACCTGCTCTACTGATCTTCCCATCAGCTGTTATTCACTGTTGACGCTGGCCCCGGCTAGTGATGTCCACACTCCACAGATCGTCACCGTTATCCATTGATATCGGTGGGGGCAGTTTGGTAACAGGCTAGGCTAGATGCACGGGTACGCTTGGCAGCATTTTGCCCACATTGGTCCCTGGTACGGTAAAAATCCAAGTTCAGTCTCCATTAAATCCTACAGGACCAGCAACGGAGCCTATAGTTACATACACACGAACCACACTCTTAGCTACTATCTCTATCTTAAAATAAGTTTATTTTTAGCTTCTTTCAAAAAAAAAAAAACTAAATATCACCTACTGTATCATAATAAGTTTATTTTTTAGCTTATTTTATTTGTTCCAAAATATGTTTTTAAAATAACTATTGTATCAATGTTCGTGAAAGTAAAAAAACAGTAGTATTAAGAGTAGATAAAGCAAAAAATATTTGCATTAGTATTTGATAAAGTAGGTGGATTATAGTTTTTTTTTTGTTTTTATTGTTATGTGTGAGATAGGTGAAATTTTTTTAAGGGAAAACAACACTAGAATAGTTTACTGAAAATAAATTTGTACTCCCTCCGTTTCAAAATGTTTGACACCGTTGACTTTTTAACACATGTTTGATCGTTCGTCTTATTAAAAAAAATTGTGAAATATGTAAAACTATATGTGTACATAAAAGTATATTTAATAATGAATCAAGTTATATGAAAAGAATAAATAATTACTTAAATTTTATGAATAAGACGAATGGTCAAACACGTACTAAAAAGTCAACGGTGTCAAACATTTTGAAACGGAGGGAGTAGTATTTTAGAACGGAGGTAACGTAGCAAACATTTTAGGACAGGTGAAGTAAGTTACATCATGTAGTGGCATTAGACAATTTAATAGTTTACTGACACTAGCAATACGGTAGGGAGGGGACAAAAATTGAGTTGCTGCTGCGAGGTGCAAAGAGCAGCGATGTGCGGCGCCATTTCGCGTTGAATCTTCAGTACTATTATTCACTAATCCGATTAAGCAGACGACCCTAGTACAGTACAGGTATGGGTAGGAGTTTACGCGCGGTTACGCCGTGCAAGTGCGAAAGCTCAGCGGTGGGCGATCGCTGCCAAGTCGGTTGATACCAGCAGAAGTGCTCGTCCCAGGAGCCAATGATAAGAGCCAAAACCGACGGGCTCATTCTCCAGCTTAACTCTCACAGGTGGTACTAACTGCTGGCCTCTGGCATAACTCCGACTGGCCGCCTGCCACCACCCCCACGCTTAGTAGCATTCAAACAAGATGCACGCCATGCCTGGGTCAGCCAGCATCCAAATCCAACTCACTCGAGCGCGAGCTAGCCCAGCCGTCACATGGGAGATATCGTGCGTACGCTTAACTAACGAGACAAAGGGCCACATAATTATGCGGGGGCTCATGACCAATTAATTAACGGTGTTTTGCATGCGAGTGCGACGCCGCAGCGCTGCACTGCACTCCACTCCACTCCACGGCAGTCTGCAGACGCGGATAAGCGTTTCGACCGATCGGGCCGCGGCGCGAGGGAGGGGATCGGTGCGCGCGTCGCAGTCACGCCCGTGTCGGTGGTCTCCCTCCCCCTCGCGAGCGATTCAGGTCGCTTTCCGTGGTCGAACCCGGCAAATCCCATCGTCCCATTCATTCGCTCACTCATCGACCCGCCCTCCCCCTCCGCCGCTGCCAGATTCGCCGCGCCCCCTACCAGGCTACCACCTTTGCCACACCCTCCCAGACCTCGCATCGCACACTGATGCGGTGATGCCCGCACCGTGCCATCTCTCTCTCTTTTTTACTTCTCGGGCTTTCCTTAGTTTCCTTCGTTTTCCCACACGCCCACGCGCGGACGCCGCGTACTTAGCTAGCAAGGCTAGCTAGAAGCTCCCATACTTGCACGTACGCTTTCCCATTCTCTTTTGCTTAAACCGAGCTAGAGCTTTGCTAGCTCAGTTCGTCCATGAGAGCAGCAGCGGCGGGTCGGCAGCCTCGCTTGTAGCTAGCGATAATGAAGGTCTACATCACGTCGGCGGCGCCGCTGGCTGGCGAGGCAACGAAGGCGATGGCGTCGCCGCCGTCGCCGCCGCCGCACCAGCACCAGCAAGCGGCAACAAGGCGCGGGTGCCGGTCGGCTGTCGTGACGGGGCTCCTCGCCGGCGTGCTCCTCTTCCGCGCCGCGCTCCTCACCATCGAGGCCGGCGCATCCCTCTGCCCTTCCACCACCGGTAAGTTTTCACTTCGCACGCACCGAGGCCACCGGCGGCTGCTTGGTGAATTGCCCATTTTCGTTTGCGATATGATCATCTCTGACGCGATTGGCCAATGCTCCAGGATGCTTGGACTGGAGGGCCGGTCTCGGGGACTGGCTGTACGGCGGCAGCGGCGACGCGATGGAGGTGAGTCTTTACTGGTCACTGGTGGTGTGCTAGTGTTAGGCCGGCGCGTGCACTGACTGCACCTTCGATCGTGCGACTAACACAGTCAGAGTGCGTTAGGAAACAGGGGTGACTTTTATGCGCCGGGGTTTTGACATTTGTTTTACTACTTTTGCGCGCGGCGGGGCAAAGCTGTAGTACGGGACGAAACACGCCGTTGGGCACGGAGCTCCTCACGCGGTTGGGGCGATTTTTTTTTCCGCATGGTTCGGCTCGCTAGCAGTAAGCGCCATTCACGGGAAGGGGAATGGAATGTCAGGGCCGCGTCGGCAACACGTCGCGGCGTTCCTACCACGTGCCCCGCGGCCGCCCACGCTGACAGGTGGGGCCAGTCGATCCGATCCAGAGTGCTGCATGCTCTGGATTCTCAATTTTTTGTTAACCACTGTCACAGTCGGCCGTTGTCAGCTCTCGCCTCTCGGTCATTGGTCAATCCATTCCGCCCCCAGCTACGGCTCACCGGCTGAATTCAAATGCAGACCAGTAAGCCAAGTACCACCCACTAGTGTTGTTTTGCTCTTGGAGAAGTACCCCAAGTTGAATTACACAAAAAAATCGTGAAATTAGTAGTACTCCAGTACCTTTCTCAGTCAACTTGTACCAGAAAAACGGCCTAATCCGACGAGGAGTTATCTATGCACTGGTTGGCGATTTGCGCGACCCTTGCCATTGGCATCATTCCTCGAGGGCCCTACCATAGTTGGTGGCGGCTTGGGATATTGTGTTGCCAGCCGCTACGGTGCCCGGCACTTGTGACGTGCTCGTGAGGATTCTCTCGCGCTGGTGGCCTGCGCTCCAGCTAGGACATGCTCGTAAAGATGGCGCCCTTGCGTTTGGAGCTACGTGGCCTTTTCAGTTCCGACTATACAGCGGCCCTTTTGGCCCGTGACCGTGAGCCTGAGCCACTAGCTATTCATGAACGCGTACGGTAGGCATAACCCCTGTGGTTTTTAGTGCTCTCGTGTCACATTGTACATGGACTGGACGCCTAATGTACGGGATCCAATCAACGATGAGCTAATCAGTACTCTAGTACTAATGACCATTTTAAGCAAGACCATGTACTGTGACAGTTTGTGTTTTTCTTCACTGGGTGTGACTAGTTATATACTATATCCATGTTTTTCTTTTTCTTTTTTTGAGAACATACTATATCCATCTTGATTGAGTTTATGAATATAAGAATGCTGATTTTCGATCGATGCGTGGAATGGTCAGGAATTCATGAAGGAGTGGAGGAGAGGTCGCAGGGAGGCCAGCCTGTTGGATCCCGTGGTGGTGGAGGCGGCACCGGATTCGCTGGACGGCCTCATGGCGGAGATGGACACCATGCTGGCGTCCTACGATCGGCTGGACATGGAAGCCGTGGTGCTCAAGATTATGGCCATGGTATAAAACTTATCAGCCCATATTCCGACGCGCTTTCTCTATTACGAACTTTGCTAATCTTTACTGAACTTTTTATTAGTCTTGTATCATGCTTGCATGTTACTGGCACCTTTGCTGAAACGAGTGCTTTCCACGCCTAAAGACCACACATCATATGGTCCATGTGTCTTGCATCCTGCCTTGAAATTAGAGAAGCGGAACGTATGGTCATGCATGCTCTCCACTAAATCTCCGGTTAAACATGCAAACGTCACTTTTTTAGGCGTGTCCAGTTGAAATGACTGCAACTTGAAGCGTTCTTTGGCTGTGTTTACTTCCTGAAATTAGAAAGAAGTTTGGGGAAAATTGTTAGTTTGGAAAAAAAGTTAAGAGTTTATATGTGTAGGAAAGTTTTGGATGTGATGTGATATAATGGAAAGTTGGGGGTTGGGGGGAAGTTTGGTGTGAACTAAACAGGGTCTCATTTGTAGGAGTAGGATTAGATTCTTTTGTAGCTAGGGTTAGGATTAGACCGTGTTGACACTTGACACTACAATCCAAAAATGAATTATCGAGCTTTGATCCATTAATAGTACTCCTATATTGCAAGTTGCAACAACTATATTCGTCGATTTTTTATTGGGGATAATCTTGAAGCAGCTGCTGAAAATGGATCGGAAGGTTAAGTCGTCCAGGATCAGAGCCCTGTTCAACCGGCACCTGGCCTCGCTGGGCATCCCAAAGAGCATGCACTGCCTCACACTGCGGCTTGCCGAGGAGTTCGCGGTGAACTCCGCGGCCCGCTCGCCGGTGCCGCTGCCGGAGCACGCGCCTCGCCTGGCCGACGCCTCGTACCTCCACGTCACCATCGTGACAGACAACGTGCTCGCCGCCGCCGTCGCCGTGGCTTCCGCCGTCAGGAGCTCGGCCGAGCCAGCGAGGCTGGTGTTCCACGTCGTCACCGACAAGAAGAGCTACGTGCCGATGCACTCGTGGTTCGCGCTGCACCCGGTTTCCCCGGCGGTGGTCGAGGTCAAGGGCCTCCACCAGTTCGACTGGCGCGACGGCGGTGCCATCGCCTCTGTCATGAGGACGATCGAAGAGGTTCAGAGGAGCTCAATGGAGTATCACCAGTGTGACGCGTCAGTTGTCAGGGAATACAGGAGGCTCGAAGCCTCCAAGCCAAGCACGTTCTCTCTTCTCAACTACCTCAAGATCCACCTCCCAGAGGTATAAATCAAGGCAACAATTGGACAAAGATCACGCCTACATGCCTACATTTGCCTGACATTAATTTGACGTCTGGAGATATATCTGATGCGTTTTGCTTGAGCAGTTCTTCCCGGAGCTCGGGAGGGTGATACTTCTTGACGACGACGTCGTGGTGCGAAAGGACCTGACCGGGCTGTGGGAGCAGCACCTCGGCGAGAACATCATAGGCGCCGTCGGCGGGCACAACCCCGGCGAAGACGGGGTCGTCTGCATCGAGAAGACGCTCGGTGATCACCTGAATTTCACTGACCCCGAAGTGTCAAACGTACTCGAAAGTGCGAGATGCGCGTGGTCGTGGGGTGTCAACGTCGTCAACCTCGACGCATGGCGAAGAACAAATGTCACCGACACGTACCAGCTCTGGCTAGAGAAGGCAATTAGCTCTCTGATTCTCTTGAACATGGATGCCGTTTTCTTGGTTACAGTACTAATGACAAAACATTTTTTTCCCCTGTGACTGTCGCGTGCAATGCAGAACCGGGAGTCGGGATTCAGGCTGTGGAAGATGGGCTCGCTGCCGCCGGCGCTGATAGCGTTCGACGGCCGGGTGCAGGCGGTGGAGCCGCGGTGGCATCTGCGGGGCCTCGGCTGGCACACGCCGGACGGCGAGCAGCTGCAGCGCTCAGCCGTGCTGCATTTCAGCGGGCCGAGGAAGCCCTGGCTGGAGGTCGCGTTCCCGGAGCTCCGGGAACTATGGCTCGGCCACCTCAACAGATCAGACAGCTTTCTACAAGGATGCGGCGTAGTCGAGTAACACAGTAAACGACACAGCAGCAATTGAGCTGGGAAAGAGTATATAAGTATAGACGATTTGGTTCGAGATCTCCATGTGGCGCAGAGCTGGGTTCATGTCTTCATGAGGAGAGGGAAGTAGGTGCTGCCTTCAGTCTCTCCTCGCTCTGGCTCTACGTGCAACATGTTCAGTGACACAGTGTAGAATTGTATAGTGACGATGTATATAAGGGCTGTTATCTATTTCTTGGTTATAGAACTAAATGAAAAACTAGATGCAACCACACGCATTTATAGAATAACTATGTCACTGAATGAAAAACTAAATGAAAAATGATGCTAGACATGGTAGAATAACTATGCTAAACATATTAGAACAATACTAAAATTGAATATCAAGCACAGTGTAGTGCTGGTGCATTTGTTTGGTAACTTAGCAGATGTACAATATGAATGTGCTAGTATATGATTAGTGATTACACTGTAATATAAAACTACTTTTCTGAGAACAAAACACAATCAATTAATCACGCTCTCTCAGAAAGACTCCACTTGAGTAGTAGAATAGATCATTCTTAATATTTTCCGATACGGTCAGACATATATAATTATGGGGAAAAAAGGCTTGAAATTTACAGCCAAATGTTAAGAACTGACAGAAAAAATGGTAGCTTTGGAACCTTGATCGATTGCTACTCCATCCGCTTGAGATTATAAGTCGTTGTGACTTTGATCAAAGTCAAACTACGCAAAGTTTGACTTACACAAAGTTTATAGACAAATATAGTAATATTTACAACACCAAATTAGTTTCGTCAAATCAATAATCTATTATATTATTAAAGGAATAGAAAAAGAAGCCTCCACGTTCACTCTAATGGCCTAGAAATTCTCACATTAATCGCAGAAAAAGAAACAAACAGAGTCCATATAGGAATACAATTTAATAATAGCTGAAATTCGGAATTAAGAATAAGAAATAGGAAGGTAAGACTAGAGTCCATATCGGTATACAATAGAACTAATAGAAATTCGGAATTAAAAAATAAGAAAAAATAAATGTAGAGGTTAGAGTCCATCTAGAAATATAATTTAGAAATTAAAAAATTCAAAATTTAAAAAATATTGGATGAAGACTATAGAGTTCAGATAGAAATAGAATTTAAAAATAATTAAAATTCGGAATTTAAAAATATTGAAAGATAAGTTTAGAATCCATATATAGAAATATAATTTAGAAATAATAAAAATTAGGAATTAAAATAAGGAATATTGGAAGAAGAGTATAGAATCCATACAAGAATTTAAAATTCAGAATAAAACTAATAAAATTAAAGTAGAATTTGGAGTACTAAAATTAGAAATTTAAAAAAGGAATATTGGAAGTTCGCTCTCATGAGACACGCAAAATTATGTTGTCATTTTAATATATTTGAATAATACATTGAGAAAACATATATATTATTATAAGACAGAAAATATAATATGATGTGTCGGTGACATGGGACCGGGAGTATCATGACTTAGAGACTTGAGGCAGACACGATCACCCACGTGGCCTAACCCCCTCGGGGGGTCGGGCCCGAGGGTGATACGGCCGCCCTTCTCTTTGTCTCCCCGAGGGGTCGGACCGCTCCCGTCTCGGCCCCGAGGGCCGAGGCGCCCCGACCCCTTGTGGATTTTGCGCCGCGTATATGGGTTAGGTGAGCGCAGCGGCGCTCACCTAACCGCATTTATTGCGGTTTGGACGAGCGCGTCACGCCGCATGTAACGCAGTGCAGCGCGCTCGTTCGTCCGGTCTGTGATCAGTCACAGACCGGTCAGATCGTGGGCTAGGTGGCGACAGGCGGTCTGACGCACGCCTCGCCCCATCCCGTCAGGACGAGAGCCTCCAAGCACTCGTCCCTAGCCGGAGCCGGCGTGTTAGCTCCTGGAGATGGCACGTTGGTTCCGGTCAGATATATGCCAGGCTTCATCCTAACCATTACAGGCAAGATATTGTATGAAGAAGAGCGAACATGCAGATTGTTAAACTGACACGTGGTGGACAAGAATGACCGATTTGTGACTGGTCTGACAATGGTCATGTCGTCAGCAGACAGCCATGTTCCCACGTCGCGCCTGCTTCCGGCGGAAGTGGAGGTAGGTATGTGCCGTCCCATCAGAAGGTCATTCGGACGGCAGCCATACAAATCTCCGTCCATTAATGAAGAGAAGTCAAGTTGGAGGGAAGAGAGGATGAGTCCCCACACAAAAGAAAGAGAGGGAGAGATGGTGCATGTGGTATCCCCTTGAGATATAAAAGGAGGACCTTGCCCACTTAGAGAAAGGGAGGAGAGGAGAAACGATCCCAGAACGATCGGGGGCTGGCTCGCACTTTGTAGCTTCTTCATACACAGATCCACCAAAACACAGGAGTAGGGTTTTACGCTTCTCAGCGGCCCGAACCTGTATACATCGCCCGTGTCTTGTGCTTTTTCCATTCTCGCGAACCTTCCACACACAGACTAGGAGCTTAGAATCTCACCCAGGGCCCCCGGCCGAACCGGCAAAGGGGGGCCTGCGCGGTCTCCCGGTGAGGAGCCCCACGCTCCGTCATGATGCTAGCCACGCAATCTGCGCGGGCCACCATGCTAATTAAATATATTTTAACAATATAGTTGTCTTGGATTAAAAATGTTACTACCTTTTTTTACAAGCTCAATTAAACTTAGAGCAGTTTGACTTTGATTAAAGTTAAAATGACTTATAATCTGAAATGGAGGGAGTACTTCTTAGAATCAGTAGCACAAGTAAGGTTGATGTAGCAGGAAAAAAAATGACTGTTTGAGTTGCTGAATAATGCCACATGATTCTTGTATTTTACCTGTTAAGATAAATTGTTTTAACAGGTAAAATACAAATAAGTTCCTGATGTTAGCTCCAACGGCCGAGATAGCAAAATATTAGAGAATATACTTTCTGCATTCTAGTATCACATGGCAAACCAAATGTTGGCATGTTGCCAAATAATTGAAGTGATGGTGGTAATACTGAAAAAGAAGTTGTATCATCTGATTCAACGTATTAGCTCATCGCAGGATATTTTTTAGATAAAATTTGCTATAAGACATTCAAAGATTATGGTCTTTGCTATGAGACACCCGAAGAACGTGAATCTTTTCATGGACACTGTAAAAATGTGGTAATTAGCTGCTGGACACTCCTTTTATTATTTTATTATTTCTAGTTGAAACGGAGAGGGAAATATTTGTAAAAGGCAACTTTGCCCTTGGGTCAATAGTGTTTAGCCCGCTGTAGTTGGTTTGAACAGACCCATTCCCCATTCAGTCTGATGATCCCCTATCCTCCAAACCCTAGGGTTAGGTGCGGCGGCGATCTGCGGCAACGGCGGCGAGCTCCGGTGACTACGGTGGCAGATTGAGGTGGCCGGCGAGCTGGGCCGCTAGCAGATTCGAGCAGAGAAGTACGATGGAGGGGAGCAGCGGTGGAAGCGGTGGAATCGAGCGGTTGATTCGAGCAGCAGGGGAAGAATCAAGAAGCGAGATGGATCAATCATTGTACATGGGCTCATCGTCAACGCGTAACCCAGTCACAGGCGAGGCCGCGGAGGCAGATGCAGCAACGTGAGGATGGGCGGCGGCGGTGGAGGCCGCGGGCTGTGCCTACGTCTGCTCAGGCTCCGGTGGCTCCGCCGCGCTGTGGCGCTGTGTGGCGGCTCGCGGAGCTCTGCGTCGTGGCGCTGTCTGGCCCGCTCGTGGCCGGGGCGGCGGCGGCGCCCGACGCGCCAGTACCGTGCGCCGTCGTCGCCGTTGACTCCTACGCCTTCGCCGCGCCGTTCGTCCCGGCCGTGCTGCTGAAGCGCGCGAGAAAAGGCTACTAATTACACAACGCCTAAGTACATATACGTGACAGTTTATTAACACCAATTATATGAAAGCTATGAACGCTATAAATTCTGTCCAATTCTGTACTTCTGTGTGTATACAAGCCAGCCGATTGTTGATCCATCATTGAACCGATTTGGTGCCTGAAAGTTGTGACGTTAAATCATGTCGACCAGCGTTTACAAGCAAATCGGCGCAGGGGGCATTTTGGTACTTTCATCATTCTTTCTCTCTCCGCTTCAGCCAAAAATAATAAAATAATGAGAGGAGTGTCCAGCAGCTAATTATCACATTTTTATAGTGTCAACGGAAAGATTCACGTTCTTCGGGTGTCTCACAGCAAAGACCACAATCTTTAAGTGTCCTGTAGCAAATTTTGCCTATTTCTTATACTGAGGCTAAGCCAAAACTTGAAGTTTTTTTTAATAGCTACTCCTCTCCTCTCTCCCACCGCCGCACCGCGTGCTGCTCCTCTCGGCCACTGAGCTTGCGCGCTCCATGGCCGACAACAGCCTTGGTGCGACTATCATTGCCGGATCCGACAGAGAACTCGATAGCTCTTCTTCTTTGCACGTGGAGAGGGAAAAAGGTGGCGGGGGGCAGTGGCCAACCCTTCTCGCCATCGAGGGGAGTGGGAAGGGAGGAGGCAGGGAGGCTGGCGAGCGGGCGGAAAAGAAATGAGGCCAGCGAGTGGGGCATGGAGGGCGGGAGACGAGGAGACCGGACTACCCCGCGACCGTCGCCTTCAGACATCGATCTTGGCGAGCAGGCATCAGGGAAGCCCGGAAGGGCACGGGGATCGTCGTCGGGCCAAAGGTGGTCGTCGCAGCAGCAGGGGAGGTTGGGCTCGTTGTACTTCGGCGGGAGCGGCTCGGACGACTGTGGCAACAACGGGGATGACTCCGATGACTCTCCTGGCCTCGCCGCCTCCTTCCTCTCCACACGCTCGTCTAGTTTTGACTCACCGACCATTGCCCTTCTCCCTCTCCGTTTCTCCGTGTGCTCTCGCACGTGGAGATAGAGAGGAGAGTGGGACCCACTAACATGTGGGTCCTATTTTTATTTTTCCTTTTGTCTGGCTGGCATGTGGGCCCATATTTTAAAAATAATTTATACTCCTACTTTATATTTTGCTTACAATGCCACATCACAGCCACCACGTAGGATAATGACCAAGTCAAACCAGCTATGTAGATGCCACGTCAGTCAGAACCGCCATCCAAACCGCCGAGATTGCTCATCCACACCGGTTTATCTGTATTGCAGTTAAGGGATGAAAATTGAACTCGCGTCAAGTAAAGGGCCCACGGGGATTTCGGCCCGCCCGAAATGAACAAGCCCTCGGCGTCGGCGCTCTCCTCCTCCTCGTGAGTTCGCCCGCCGCCTGCGCCGATCCCCATCCATCCCGTGAGCTAGCAGAGGCGCCGTCGTGGTCGCCGTCGTTCGTCCTGCTGCTTCCGCCGCATCCCGGTGAGCATCCATCAGTTACGCGCATCCTCTTGCTCATCTCTCCCTACCCACGCGCTTTTTCCTCCAATTTGAACACCCTTTGTTTCTCTTCTAGACCTGGAAGCTCTTCTCTTAATTTGCCTTAAACCTCAATACTAATAGCAGTTTGTTTGTTCCCCCAGATCCGCCACTGCTGAACGGGGTGCTTTCGCCATGTCGAGGCTGCGGGCGCTGTGGCAAGCCTCCGTTAACGCCACCAGGCGAGGTAGCTGCCTGCCGCAAACCTAATTTTGCCGCGCTAGTCGTATGCTGGGTTTATTTCCTCAAACGAAACTCCTTTACCTGCGTTTGCTCATTTTTAAGGCCATTTGAAATGTTTACTGGAAAGGCCATATGAGATCCTCAAATGATGAATAACTATGGCATAAGGATTTTAGACACGGGATGGGAATTCAAGTGTGTAACAGCTCAGTACTAGTTATGTTGATGTTTATTCAGACAGTTGGAGGTTTCTTCTAGCATTTTGATTTATTTAAAATGGATGCTGCTGGATCGCAAGTTGGCTTCAGTTGTTAGCTATGACATTCTAAGATGCTTTTAATCTTCATTTAGAGTAATAACTCATTATGTTTGTCTATGTCATAATTCTTTCATCCTACATACGAAATTTGCAGCCATTGTGTGGAATTCAGAAGACCTAATCCCACCAAGTGAAAAGTACATCTTCAATTTTAATTCAAAAGATGAGCTGAAAAGGTGGCACTTGTATTCAGATTCCGAGTATGGAGGTAATGCCTCACTTTCAAGTTTTTCTTTGCACGAATATTAGTTTTCGTGATTGTCCTGAATAACTGAACGGTAGAATAGACTAACTTATATTGTATATGTTGTGATTGTGAGGTACTCATGGAATATTCATGTTCTAAGACTTTGCCTGGCACTGGAAATGTTCCTTTGTTTTTATTCTCAGAATACATGGGAAAAATATGCAAATTCCCAAGGGCTCAATTTTTATATGTATATGTTACGATTCAAAGTTTCATTGTGATTCTAATTCTATGCATAGAACAAAAATGAATAAAGCTAGGAAAGTTCTCTTTCAGAGAACATCAGAAAAAAAAGTTTTCTCTTGAATTCTTGTAGCTCTTGCAGCTTTCTAACATAGTTCCTGGATATTCTGACATAGTTACTGGATTAGTCGATCACTTTTAGCTCCATTCTTGTCAAGAGGCTTCACTGTATACTTCTCTCAGACGATACATTTCACTATTTCAGTGTAAATATTGCATGCCAATAACTCATTGATTTAATGAGTTTTCCCTTCGTTTTTCACCTACATTTGGTCTTTTACTTTGTATTACCAAGAATGTTCCACAAAGGGCTATATCTAATACAAATATATGTGGCTTACTATCTGCTATAGTGATCCAAATGGGAATCTGCCTGCTCCTTGTGCTTTCATTCCCTGGATGTTCTACAACGGATACATCAGTGTAGTATCAATTGGTAGTTGCTAAACCAGTGGATTAGATAGTCTGGGATGTAAACCTCCTTCAATATGATGGGTAGATCGTTAATGCTTCAGTGTGTTGTGATATGCTGGTGCCTTAGCCTCACAATAGTACCTGGAATAAACAAATGTTTATTTCTTTGTGTCTTTTGGGTGGGTGACCTTTCTGGCATGTTCATTAAACTTCACTAATATTTGTTGGCACATTTTGTAACTGATAGGCAAGCTCTTTATTCACATCTATGGAATGATTTGATTGAAAGGAATTGTTATCCAGGTTTATCATCTGCATCATTGGAGATAACTGATGGTGGTGCTGGTGGGGATACTTCATCAACTGGTACTCTGATGTTTTGACGTCCCCTTTTTCAGGGTTTCCTTAGAGTGCATTTTCAGTACAAAGAGGGAAAACTGGAAAATAGTTTATTTATCTGCTGTTATATATAGCTTATGAGTACAAATTAACCTGTTGAACTATGGAGTGTCTTCTAGTGTTGTTATTCTCATGAATCTCATATGTCCTTGCCAACTTACCAGATAATACCAGCTTGCTGTCTTGGCTTTTGTAATTGGAAAGAAAGCGGCCTTTTTTTCATGGTTTTGTTAGATTTCATGCCTGATTCACTTAATTTAATTTTTATAAGCTTTGACAGTTTTGCAACTATTTTTCCAACATATGCATTCTGGAAGGTCTCTTTTCTGGCAATCTCTCTTTGGATATGTCTGAGGGATCAACATGGAAGATAAGGCGTAGTGGTTTCTGTGGAATGAGATCAAAGAAGGTAAAGTGATATTGACTTGGTCATTGCTCAATATCTGTAGATGCTATTATGCTGATAAACCCTTATTTCTTTCTCCGTTTCAGTTTAATGGTTTCATTGATCTTGATGCATATGATACTATAGCGATGAAACTCAGAGGGGATGGAAGATGCTACATATCTACTGTATGTATCCTCATCCTGAGACAGTATTGAATGTGCGATATCAAGTTAATACGTTGCTATATAATCTGAATCTTAATTAAACAGATATACACAGAGAACTGGGTGAATTCACCTGGACAACAGGAAGATAATTCGTGGCAAGCCTTTGTGTACTTACCCCAGGACAGATGGCAAATCATGAAGGTAATTTCAATTCGAAGTTGAAAGATATGGTTTTTGATGATACGACAGCACTTGTCCTTTCTTTCAGATCCCTCTTGATTCGTATCTACCCACATGGAGAGGAAATGTGATCGAAGCAAAGATGGAAATGAACCCTGCTCGTGTTGTGGGAATGTCTCTATCCGTAAATGCTGAGGGCGGTGTACCTGGTGCAAAGACTGGACCAGGTGATTTTAGGCTAGAGGTTGATTGGATCAAGGCATTGAGGACACTCTGAATTTGTGGTTTCCACAAATCGGTCTTTTTGTAGGATTTCTCAGGGCTGGAAATTTCTTACCGGCACTTTTTCATGTGATAATTGCTGAATATCACGAGGCATGGAGATGCGTCATGCAGTTTGTATTACTCCTAGTCAATACAATGGGACATCGAAAGGAGGCAACTGTTCAGCGCAGATGAATAATGAGGTCTCTTTTGCTTTTGGGGGAAATGAATATACAAATGTATCACCTGTTTCTTATGGCTGTCTGAACATACGTTACTTCCTTGCTACTGTGTCCGATGAATTTTTATCCATTCCGCATCAACTGATACCTGCAGGAGACGGTTTGTACTTGGCTTCCCATTTTGCGGTGGAACTGGCGAGCTCGTGCTTGGTGGCGGCTTTGCCCGCCTGCTAAATTTGCACGTTTTGGTCAAACAACACATGCATTCATTTTCAGGTTTCCGTAGCAGCAAAAACACCATGATAAATTGGCAGTGCACAGCCGCAACGGAAACTTCTCAGTGCAATCGTGCGTGGATAAACAAACAACGGTGGATATTTCAAAAACGATCTTTCAAACAAAAAGGTCGATATTTCAAAATGCATTTTCAGGAACTGTACACAAGACACACTTGAATTAGTCCATAATCAGAATCCTAACTCAGGCACACATGGCGAAGCTTCCTTTCCTACAAGAGCAATATTTGCTCATGGACCACACGTCCACACCATGACACCGCAACTAATTAAGGGGAACGAACAAAAATGGGAGCACCCAGTGCAAGCCGAGAGGACGACGGACGGGTGTTTGGCGACCAGTCGTCGTCCACTCCTCTGCATGCATGTGTGCACAAACGACGGGTCAGCCGTGCCGGGTCATCCTTCAATGAACCCGGTCATCCGCAGCACGGAGTTGCGCAGGTGGCTGAGGTCGCGGCGCGCCCGCCCGGTCCCCGTCCGCAGCGAGAACGCCTGATCCCCCTCCTCCGTCGACCGCCTCCGCGACACCATCACGTGGGGCGGCACCATCGTCCCCCCGCCGCAGTCGTCGCCCTGGTCGCCGCCGCTCCACCGCTGCGCGGCCCTGGGAATGTCCACCGGCCGAGAGCTCGCCGTGGAGCAGTGGCGCGTGATCTGCTGCTGGCCCCGCCGAGCCGGCGTCGGCGCGGTCGCCGTCGCCGTCGCCGTCGGCGGGACGACGTCGTGTGGCGACTGGTGATCCGGCCACAGCACGTCGGACTCGTACAGCTCCTCTCCCATCGTCGCCATGCGCGCGCACGCACGCACAAACCAAGCTACCTGTGAAGCGTCGATGCGTTTGGGGTTTGGACGTTTGGGCCTTGGTAGTTTGGTTTAGCTTTTCTCTCTGTGCGACGACGAGCGCCCGCGGGGCGTATATATAGGCGTGGTGCGGCTGGCGCCACCTACGTGTCGAGTAGCTTGCGACGTACGACTAGCCGCCCGCCGAGCCGCGCGAGGAAGGAAGAGATGCGCCCACGGAAAGGGATCCGGGTTCTATCGGGTCCGGTCGTTCGGATCGGATCAGATGACGAATTCAATTACGGAGTCAACAAAAGGCTCGTGTCGGTCAATACAACCAAAATAAACGTGGCTCGTCTCTTTGCCAGAGCGGCCGCCTCCTTCTTTTACTGCCCGACATGATGATGAAACGGAAATTGGTCGTACGTGCATGCGAGGTAAGGAAGGTGCATGCTTGCCACCTGCACTGTACAGCTAGTACATAACACAGCGGGCACGGGCAATGTGCTTATTACTCGTGTGGGTAAGTTCTGACGGGATTAAAGATTTCATTTGTGATTACAGACTTGAACCCAGGTTAAATCGAAGACTAACCTCGGGTGCCTCAGGGTCATCATCGCGGAGCGTCCACGCGTCCTCTGCCACGCATGTACTCCTACTCGCGTAATCTCTTGCATGCCTTCCGCTGGGAAGCAAGAGGAATCTAGGGGTTAGCATTCTTAATTCCAGCTTTACCTTTCTCTTAAGCATCTATATCACCGCTAAATATTGCAAATTTATTCGTGGTTCCTTGCTAGCAACGCACGATCGCGATCTCTGTTTCGTCGTTTGCGTGCGGCCACCGAGTCCGCACGCACCACACGCGGATATGCGTACGCGGCGCCCGGACGGAAGAAGCATCAGGCTACAGGCTGGGAAGGCTTCCACGTACGCTGCACTCAACGCGTCCTGTGCCGAATTTTTTATTTATAATACTAAGTAATATTTAAATTAAATAATTAGTAATTCTCTAGGAGGATTAACCAAAATAGGATGGACGATCATTCAAACAGCGTCCAGACATGGATGCTACTATAAACAACGTCCACCTTTCTGGTGCAGTCAGACCATCACTACGCCACCAATACGCTAAGAGAAGTATCTATCTATCTATCTTCTATTATATACTAAAAGTCCATTAAACTTTCTACAAAAGCTCTCAAGCCGCCACGTGGCGCTCCTACAAACGCTCCTAGATCAGCACGAGGAGCTTAAACATCCAACCATCGGTTTTCATTTAATCTGGTGGACCCATTATTTTTAACCACTAGATTTTTATTTTAAGAAAAAAACAAATCAATCTATCTAAAAAAAATCCCACGTTACTCGGCCGTGTCCCGGATCTGTACGTCCGTATGTCCGATGTACGTACATATCCCCTCTATGTCCTTTTCTTTTTCTTTCTTATATACTTAGATTAGATGAAAAAATAAAAAGTTCATGTTAACCATATATTTTAAGTTGTAAAAATATATGTTATTTTAAGTTTTATTCTAAATAACGCATCTCATTGAAACATCCATAAAAAATATTAATAATTAACATTATAGACTATATGATTGTATATCACAATTAAATTGGACTTATAATTAAAAAACAATTTAAATTTTGAGTAGCATTTTAAAAATTTACTCACTCCCTATTGTGTAATACTGATATATCCAAATAACATTATTAAATTTATCAAGAATGTATTTTCATATATTCTATGTTTCTGTATTCATATTTTTTTTGGAAAATTAACAACCATATATATTTTTTACACCATGTGGATGCCCTTTTATCTCTTAAGCTTCATTCGGTCTATCTCATTGGATAAGCTTATTTAGGACACGCGAAACAAAGCATGCCATCAGCGTAAGATTAATTAAGTATCAAATATTGCATATCCTGTGCTTATCTAAGAAAAAATATATAGAAAAATGGTTCTATACACCCAGGAGTACGTACTGTATATATATAAGGGTCATCCTATATATAAAAAATAAAATCTAGCTACTTATTTATACATAACCCGTGGATATATTATTTTCAACCATTATTTTATATCTATATCTACGCAAGAGATGTCATAAAGGAAAAAAAAGAAGAATGTGTACAAGATCAGCTCCATCGAGTAGTTTTTTCTTTCTTTCTTTGTGGCTCTGAGATTTTCCTCAAATTGTGCATATGAGTAGCAACCACCCTTGGCGAGTTTGTCAAAGAATTCACGCGGCCGCAGCACCGCTTCACGCCATCTCGCTAAATTTTTTGGAAGTATTTTTTTACTAATGATTTATAAGGCAATCACGTTTCCTTAAAAAAAGCAATCACGAGCGCATATATAAACGTGTGCTCACCCATCATATAAATACACATACACACACCTACCCTAAGAGAAAAAATATTTGTCTCCAAAAAAGGGAAAAAGTATGTGCTTAGTATTTGCTAGAAAAAAACATATACACATATCATCGAAAATGCTGCATAGAACCACATTATATCTTTTTAATTATGTCATTCTCATCTATATAATGTTAATAATTAGGACAAATAATTTTGACAATATAGATTATTCCATCGTATATTACCCATGAACATACATAGGTAAATCAGATGTATAATAAAAGAAAAAACAAAACAAAAAATATATTAGTTTATATGTTTGCGAATGATGGTGAGAGATCAGATTATATATAACCGGGACAATTCGTACCGTTCTTATTATTTAAGGGTGTAATTTAGACTTTTTCCTTAAAAGTCTTCCACATAAGGATTTATAATAAAAAAAATTAATCAACACTAAACTTCCTACAAACGCTTTTAAGCCTCCACGTGGCATCCTATAAATATTCCTAAGCCGCCACGTGGCATCCTATAAATTAGAGAAATTCTTAAAAGGACACAACGTATAACCGTTGATTTTTATTAAATTTTGTAGACCATTATTTGTAACCATTAGATTTATTAGAAAAAACATACTTATCCCTAGGCCCACCTCGGCCTTGGCAATTGCATGTACGTACTTACGTACGTCTGCTCAACCCCCCCCCCCCCCCTAATTCTTTCACCCCTTTTTTCACCTATTTTTTCTCCTATTTTTAATCTTTTAGAAAAGAAAAAATTGTATGCCAAATAATTAAGCAAATGCAGCATCTAAATTATAATGCTAATATTTGATCTGCTTATGTCTTTAGATATTTTATATTTTAAAACTCATGTCCTCTTTAATTCAACTGTAAAGAGATAAATGTCATATTAATTGGGGCTACATTTTCTGACTTTTGCGTGTCATTTAAGCAATTTTAAAACTAAAAAAATTAATGATATATATTTTTGTCATCGTATATAACTTGATAATAATTAAATTATATCTAATAAAAGTAAAATGAACAGATCTATGAGTAATATTAAAAAAATAGCCCCCGCCCCAACGTTGTAACACAGTAAAAAGTACACATCTTATAATTACTTCTAAGATATTATGTCTTTCTCTTAAATCAGAGAAAATACACTCTTAAGATATTACGTCGTTCTTTTAAATAAGAGAAAATCGTAAAAATTCTGACAAGAAAACAAAACATTCGACCATCAGCTTCGACTTAAACATCTGACACATAATTTTAGTTTGTTAGATTAATCATTTAGAAAAAGAACATCCGAAATCTCCCTTCCTCCCTGCTCGCGTACAACGTGCGCCATTCTTTTCTCTCTATTTTTTATCTCCTTATCAACTGAAATTAAAATTATCTATATGTAAAAAAGACACAAATAGACCTCCATCTATTACTTGTATCTTGTCAGGCGTCTAACGACTTTCTACTAACTTAATTAATTTCTCTTAACATGCCTATGAGGGCTATGTACCTATACAAATTGACCTTGATACTTTTAAAACGATCTTATTAGGAGATAAATAAATATTTATAAGAAAGATGATCATAGCATCCCAATTACACATATGATCTATGAAGTCACTAATCATAATAGGTATTCATCTAGCAATATAGACAATAGGTTAAAAATAAATGTGTGGCCAGTTGAACATCATACCAATAAGTATGTGGGTTACACCTAGGAATCTTAACAGTGAAACAACCTTGAGGCGGCCTTTACAATTGGAAATTGAGCAAATGTTGCTAGATTTAAAACCCACTGTAAATAGAAAAATTCAAACATTTTCTGAGTTCTGTTTGAATGAAAAAATATATAAAATAAAATACAATCAATCAAAAAATTGATATTATTGGATTTTTTTGGGTTGTAAGATATCCTACTGGGGAGTTAAATGTCCTGAATTTTCTTATAGGAACCACCTCCTTTGTTTCGACACAATATTTTCTCATCAATTGAAAACCGCATGTTCTCAAGTAATTTTATTTTAGAATTTAAATGTTACAAGGGTAATTATAAGAAAATAATCAGCGCTCAAATCACACAAAATACATTTAACTTTATAATATAATAAAAAATATTTTAATAAAAAACACCCACACTTAAATATTCATAATAAAATTTCACTCATCATATAAGAAGGTGCCCGCGCATGTGTGCGGGCTATCTTTCTAGTTGAAACAAAAGTTGTTCAACCTAGCTAGGGTCAGGGATCACCGGTGTCGTCGTATTCGCCTTCGATCGGGGGGCCGTATTCCGTACGCTTCACCCTGCAAACCACGTCGCCACTGTTACTGTCCTTGTTGACGCCGGCGCCTTGGATTTGTCCATTACTCAGCGCCATCAATCCAGCCACGGCGTCTTGAGCGGCAAGTTCGTTGGCTGCTCGCCGGCAACAGGTGAACTGCAAGACATGCATGTATTTCACATTGATCTACTTATGTCTTTCGGTGGGAGGCAACAGGTGCCCATGCATACGTTAGCTAATTACCATTGATCAGCTGCTGTATACATTGTGTTCATATGTACTTTATCAGGATAATGGAATTCAACGGTCTCCCAGGAGTCGAGCAGATAGCAGCAGCAGCCTCCGGGGAGGACAACAACCTTCGGCCTCCCCAATTGAAAGCCGCCAATGGCAGCCTCCTCTGGAATCGATGCGGGCGGTCGTGAGGGCCTCCCGGGGGCGGGCGTCTGCTACAGCCTCTCGA